CTATCATGTTGGACAGGGCTATTCTATAACCAGCCAGGTAGGCTGCTGAAGCTTATGAAGATTACAAAACAAAACAAAAAAAGAGAAGAAAATTCCATGTAGTGAAAGAAGTGATAAAGCAGCTATAAAAAGCAGAAACAGCTGTGGGGAGGGTAGATACTGAGAAAAACTTTAGCTTAGGGTCCCTGCTGTCAGCTGATAAACCTCCCTCTATCCTGGGTTCTGACAATAGCATTTTTCCCAAAAGGCTTCGAGAGTATGTTTCTGTGAGGGTTTTTTGTGCTAGTAATTAGGCTAGCAGTATGGATGGCTCAAAAATCATGTGATCATCCTGCTTTGCTACCAGTGCTATATAAACTGTCAACTCCTAGCACGGTCAAAGAAAAAAGGGAAAGAAAGGGAAGAAAACAGAAAATAAAGATAAATGTAAAAAAGTAAAAATGAGTAGAAAAAAAAGGGAAAAAAGAAGCCCTTTCTATGGCAACAGTACCACTGGCACCTGCCCAGGTATAAGAGGCATGGAATTCAGTTACCATTAACATAATGGCTAGGTGGAAAACCATAGGAGAGAAGGAGCAATTAGGGGTATCGTTTTATAAACTATATAAATGTCTAACCAATGTACTGTATACTTGAAACTAATACCAGAAAAAAAAAAAAGAGGCATAACCAAACTGTTATCGTTTTCATTCTCTGAACAAATATTCTCTGAACACCAATTATATGTCAGGCACTGTTCTGGGCACTGGGTTTACGATGGTTAAACAGAAAGAGTCCCTATCTCTCAAGGTATTTAGAACGCAATGAAGAAAATGGGCACTTACATATAAAAATGTTATGAAGTGACAAGTGCTATAACAAGAGAGATAAAAAATGGCAGTGCAGGTCAGGGATTCTTCCAAAGGAACATGATTTAAAGGATGACTAAGAGCTCCCCAAGCAGAGGAGGAGGTATTACAGGGAATGTAGAGGAGCAAGAATAAAAATGATGAGGAAGGAGATGTGAGAGTGAGTGAATGCCATGGTTTTGTAACTGGGAATTTTATAGGGACTAAAGTACAGATTGAATACCAGGGAAGAAGTTTTGACTACTTTCTATTTTTAATGAGAAACCTCTGAAATTTTTTGAGCAAAATACTATAGTAACTTTGCTTCTGAAAAATTAAGCTGGTAAGTACTGTGCAGGCTGACTAAATTCAGACTGGGAGATTAGTTACAATACTACTGAGGTAATCTACAATGACAGATAATAATGGTCTTCAGTGAATATTTTATTTATATCTGCCCTGAAATCACGTCCCTTTCTTTTGGTAACAGAACCTCAATTTTCCACAGGAGAACCACAACTCTGCACTTACTCTGGCCCATGTAGTTCTAAGAAAGCATCACCCTACCCCAGGATCCATCAGAGTTAGACACATAACTGTGGCCTGACAGCATATTCCACACCCTGGAACAGGAACGTAAATCAGTTCAAAAAGAGTCAGCCCAGAATTTTGCTTTTGCTGTACCAATTGAGATTGCTTGCTTGCCTGCCTGCCTGCCTTCCTTCCTTCCTTCCTTCCTTCCATCCTTCCTTCCTTCCTTCCTTCCTTCCTTCTTGCCTTCCTGATGCCTGCCTTCCTTCCTTCCTTCCTTCCTGCCTTCCTTCCTTCCTTCCTTCCTTCCTTCCTTCCTTCCTTCCTTCCTTCTTTTCTTTCTTTCTTTCTTTCTTTAGTGGGGTGGGATTACTAAACTTGAAGTTGCTAAGGGTTATATCCTGTAGAGAAGTCTGCCTGAGAATGAAGCCAACACATTGGAATAAAGAGCCCATAGACAGGGACAAATTTTCGTTTAAGCGTGCACCTACATTTGGCCATTCCTGAAAGAATACTACTCTCTGGATTTTTCAGTAGTGTAAGCTAAAATAATTGAAAATGGAGAAAAAAATATAAAGCTTCAAGAGAAAAATCAGGAACAGAATTCACAGGATCTAGTGACTGCTTAGATATGGGAAATGAAGAATAGGGAAGTACCGAATTTCATTCTGTGAGGCTTCTGGCTTGGTTGATTGGGTGGAAATTCTATTAATTGAGATAGAGAATAGAAGAGGAAAAGGTTTTGGAAAAGCTCAATGGAATGAGCTCAGTTTACAGATAAGAAATAGTATCTTACTACTTGAATTCTGACTCTACATCACTGAGCCAGGAAAATTATACCTGTAGCTGGGTTCCAAGCTCAGCAGTAGACTGCATAGCTCCAGGCAATTTAGGGTAAGTTAAAAGCTAGACTAACACCCCAGTCCTCAGTGGGCTCAACTCGAACAGAGGAGTCAGAGAAGAAGAAAGAACAGGCTATACCATTGCAAATAGCAACCACAAGAGCATAATTTCAAGAAAACTGAGGAAGGGAACAGTAGTAGTCATTTTTTGCACTTAGACACACCAGACACTCTGTGAAGAACTTTATGCACATTATCTTATTGAATCTTCACAACTTACCACTCAGGAAGGCATTATTCTTCCTACTCAGACAGGATAAGCCAAGTTAAGCAGTAGAACTAAGATTCAAATGCAGATCTATCTGGCACATCTCACTACAATTGTTTTCAGAAAATATATTGAAAAGTTGCATCCATATATAAAAAAATTATGCCATTTCATCAAAAAGACTTTTTCTGAATTGGGTGTTTTTTATTTGTTTGTTTGTTTGTTTTAGGTGAGGAAACCATTGGTTGACCTCACAGATTGCAAGGACCTTGTCATCTTACAATCCTTTATTTTTTTATTTTGTACTTTTTTATGCCTACAGCACCTGGTCTTCCTGGTGGTCTCCCATCCAAGTACTAATGAGGCCCAACCCTGCTTAGCTTCTGGGAACAGACGGGATCCTGCTTGTTCAGGGTAGCATGGCCGTAGACGGAATTGGGTGTTTTAATGGCCATAGAAAGGTTAGATTTGCAGTGACCCAGCCATGATGCCTCAATCCTCAGGCACAAGAAATGTATTTGCCAGTTGTCTATCAGGAGCTGAGTCCGTGCCGTGAAGTCTCATTAAACAATACATTCTGAGTTAACCAACAAATAGGCTATTGCAACAGTATGAGTGACTTTGTGGGAATAATTCCACAACTGAAATTAAGTTTTGACTGGAGTTTCTTAGTTAAGAGGTAAGCATGGAAAGAGTATGAGATAGAAAAAGATACCTGCAAAAGAGTATCCTACTGGCCTGAATGACAGGAAAAGAATGATATAAAATTTACTATCTTATACATTTCTTTCTCACTATATGTTAGCAAAGTGAGAGGCAGCATAGTACAGGTATTAAAAGCACAGACTCTGGAGCCAGATTGCCTGGGTTTGCCCCAGTTCCACCAGGGATTCACTGTATAACCTTGGCAAGTTATTTATCTTATGTTTCGGTTTCGTCATCTGCTAAATGGTGATAATAGAGTACCTATCTCATCCAGTTGTTATGAAGATTAAATAAGTTAATACTTGTAAGGCTCTTAAGCAGTCACGGCAATGTGGTTTAAAAAAAAAAAAGTGTTTGTTAAATATATTAAGTCAATAACTAACCCAGCTAGATGTCCAGCTAGATAGGGAGGAAATTTGAACTTGAATTTCCAATCCGGCCTCTCTCACATGAACTCATAGAGGAAAATAAAAATAACCCTAAAACTTGCTTAGAATTTATATGGAACCTCTTACACGAAGCATTTCACAGACATCTGGAGGAAGAATACACAGCCAAATATCCACAAGCAGAAACTGAAACATTAAAAGAGAAGTAAGATGTTCATTTTCACTGAACACATCATTCATAGATCTCAGGCAAGAACCCCAATGTCTTTGTCAGTCCAGGTTTTGTATAATGTGCAAATGAAAGAGGAGTCATCCTTTAAAACTGCTAGGTCTTCACCCAGGCACATCTCATTAATTTTCCCTTGTTGATATTTTCTCAGAGGTAAATGTTCTACAACCAGTTTTTTGTTTTGTTTTGTTTTGTTTTTTATGTCCAGTCTTTGGACCCCAACTGCTCCTGAGATCGTAACTATATCTGAATGTTTTTAAAAGTCAAACAAGACTCCATTAAGTCACAGTACTGCTTTATCCTGTCACTACTGCAGATTCTTAAGAGGTTAAGACCAGAGTTATAAATGAAGCAAACCCTAAACAGGGGAAGCACCTCCACAGAGTCCAAGTCATCATTCAGTTAAAGTAGTTTTTAAAATCTTAAACCCTCTAATTTCCAGAAGATATGAACTCGATGACAGTAGCTGCACATAAATGTAAAATTGCTTTGTTGCACTGTG